GCTCCATGCCCCTGCCTTCCATCTCTGTAGGTTGTTACATAGCTTAAGGACCTAGCAACGAAATGAATGGCTTTGTATTTCTGAAAGGTGACCTATGTTTAATGAACTAAAAGAGAGGTAGAGTGGAGGTGAACAATGACCAAGGCTGGAAGACCTTGTCCTAGCTTACTGATCCTCCAATCTTCCGGAGAAGAGAAGACAGCTGCAGAGATGCTGACGGGGTAGGAGAAGGAACTCCTCCCTCCACAATGCAGTAGAGCTGCCTGCCCTCTTGCAGTTTGTGAGGACCTTCAAGTAGCCCAGCAGGCTTTACTTGTATCTTTCCCGAACTAGCATCAGAAGATCAAAGCTTCCCAGTCAGTCTTCTAGAGATAAGGAAATATCATTTTGAAGAAAGATTTTCAAACATGACAAAGAATCCATTTCATTTCTGTGTAACTCACTTTCCTCAAGAGAAAAAGAAAAATGTGGTCATATGGGATATACACAATCAATAAATATAAGAGTAGAACTGCATGAGATTGTAGGTATTTAAATGATAAACCTATGTTGAACTGATAATAGAGAAAGTGTCGTTCAATGAGAGTCGGGTGGATCTGTTTCTAGTTCTCTGACCTTGATAAAAGTCATTCAAAATTGCTGGGCCTCAGTTTTTCCAATCGCAGGGCTGGGCCAGATACAGATGTGAAAACAAATAAAATTTAAAAGCTGCTGGAATTCCAAAAACACTTCAAGCCTTGTGAGAGATGTGACTGTGATCTCAGTCAAGTAGCATGTTCTGCATTTCTGCTTAGATTATAGTTTAACTTCCTTCCTCTTTGTTCTTATTCGTAAATGACTAGGAAGGACCAGAGACCAGACCTCCCCCTTCCAATCATTGATCTTTCTTATAGATCAACTGCCTCCTTTATTGTCCTGTACCTAACTCAGATCAGAAGGCACTCCAAACAAGGACCCCATGACAGTTACATCTTTAGCATGGAATGTTATATGTACCTTTACCAAAAGAAAAGGGCCATCTACACTAATCAGATCATCATAACTATACATTAAGCCTTACACAGAGAGATGTTGAAATTTTGCTAAAATTTTCTAAGCTTTGTCTATATAAGCCATCCCAAATTTCTATACTTTGGAACATTGACTTCCATTCTTTGGAATATGTGCTCCCTGGGCAGGCCCGTACTGAATACTTGCATTTGAATAAACTCTCTTTAACCTGGATTTTGACCATTTTGGTTATTTTAGGTTGACACGGAGTACCAGAGAGACCCTGCAGGTGACCTGGGCTGCTGCATCTTCCCTGTGCTTTCAACTATTTAATCTACTGAAGTTCTGGTGGACAAAGACAAATAATAAAAAACGAGATGATTTTAAAGGTCCTTGATGACTCTATTGTTCTTAGGATGAAAATATAGATTAAGAGTTATTATCTTAAATATATACCTGCAACAAAACTATAAAAAAGTTAAAACTATCCATAATTGCTGGTCATCTTCTCCCACCTCCCTTTTTTAATACCTAGGAATGTGATACCAAAAATAGTTCCAACAATTCTTGCACAACTCCAGGGGGCACCATTCATAACAAAGACAACATCAGTGGTGTCTCCTAGAATGTGCCACTCAGTGGCCCTAAGGAAGATGCTTTTAGAGTGGAGTGGACTTGTGCTGGCATCTTATCTCTACCACTAACTAGCTATATGACCATTGGCACGCAATTTAATAATCTCTCTGATCCTGTTTCCTTCTCTGTAAAATGGAGATAATAAATTGTATTTCCAAAGGCTGCTATAAAAATTAAATTAGATACCATACATACAGAACCTGGTGTAGGGCAACATACCAATGACAGTATCAATTCTCTAAAATCACAAAACTGTGTTATTTCACAGTACGAAAAACAATGTATCTAGGACTTTTGGCCCATACTATAAATAGAGACCAAAATATATTGTGAAATGGGGAACAGATTTCATCTGCTAAAGATTCAGAAGGTACCCAAAAGTTAAAGAGATCAGAATGTAGTGACCCCAGAATCGCTTAATCTGTAAATCTCACAACAGTGACAACTGGTAGAAAGGAAGACTAATCAGCACACTAATTTATCAGGGTGTGTTGGCACAACTGTTATAGAGGATAAGAAACTGTTTAAATAAGACAGGCTGCATTCATTAAGGACATATGTGCTGCCAAAAAATTACAACATGTTTAATTCAAACGGTTTTTGCCTTCCTTAGGAATCCAGGACTTGTCAATATTTAACTGCACTAAATCTTTTATTTGATTCTTCAGTTAAGAAGCAATTAACCTACACAATAAAACTATAATTTAGAAATTGTAGATCTTCCAAATGATAGAACCGAAAGCGATTCTAGATATCATCTAGTCTAACCTCCACGTGCCACACCTGGGAAAACTGAGGTCTAGAGATGATGAGAAACACAACCACAGTCACAAGACGCAAAGCCAATTCTGGCACTTGGTCTCGTTTTTTCTCACTACAGGGAACCAATCTTTACCTTTACTCAATACACATACCAACAATTTAACATATTGGATATATGGGTTCTCATCTCAACTCTGCATCATTTGGAGTTCATGAGGCAATCAATGACACCCAAAGGACCGGATCAATGATTGACAGAAGCAGCAGAGTGGGACTGTGTGAGAAGGTTTGAGGATATTCAGGAAGGTAAATGAATAACATATTAGGGCATCTGTCAGTCTGGGATTTGGGTAGTGGCAATTAGGGTCTATTAAGGGATCAAATATAGAATTATTTTCCATATCTAGGACAGTGACTAGCATGTAGGAGATACTCCTTATTTGTTGTGTAATTGGATGATGAACTGTAAGTAAGCAAATGAATGAATGAAAGGACCTGTTCTGAGAGAAGAAGTGAGAGCTTTAGAGGCAGCAGAGAAGAGGGCCTGCCTAGTGTAGTCCCTTAGGGGAGGAGGAAGAACAGTGGGCAAAGCTATCCCTAGCCTTAGCAGGAAGGAGGTACCTTGTTCCCCTGGCAAGGACAGTGTTTTGCTTCCATCCACATTTCCATTCTGAGGAAGTGCAGTAGTTCCCATGGCACTGGGTCTGTTTCTGGCTACTTTGCTCAGGATGGAACATGAAGAAGTAGAACGTTTGAGGGGAGCCTTTCTCCAAAAGCAACAGAAATTTTAAATACATAATGTCAGGTTATTTTTAGAGAAAACTCTGTGCTCACATGCCTACGCATGCAAGCTACTGACCATATGGACATGGATGAGGAAAGTGTTTCATAGCAGGATCAAGAAACAAACCTGATCCTACGCTAGCAGAGCAGACCCCACCTAATGAAGGATGAGGGAAACGTGGGATTTCCTGACCAACTTTCTATTCACTAAAAATGTGGCCCTCTGTGGTCCCAAGCCTGGTATGCTTCAATCTTGTGCCAAGTCTGTTAAGGCTGGACTTTCAAAGCAGGAGTCATTTGAAGAGCACTAGGGGCACAGACATGATAGAGAGCAGCATCTCATTACATTTTCCAAATAGGTCAGTGTTTGAAATTCCCTGTCCTTTAAACATCTATATCTAATATTTTTCACTTTCGAACCATAGGATGTGGTCACTTTGAAGAAAATATGTACCACTCATGACCTCTTGTAGTTTTCTAGGATTAAATAGAAAAAACTATAATGATAGAGTCTGCATCAATGCCTAAGGAAGACCTTTCAAGGTTCTTATGATGTAAGCAATTTCCTATTTAAGAGGAACATTAACACTTCAGTGGATAATAATGAATAATTGAATAGTGACTTCTCCATACAACAAGTAGCAGACTAATAGCAAAATGACAATGTGTGTGTTAGTTGCTAAGAAAGAATAGTGGATTCTGCCCCATGTTTATATGAAAGATCTATATAGCCCAAGGAGAATTTTTAATCTTTAATGTGATCTTCACTTAACATCTGATTAAGGCAAAGATGGTGCATTTAAAAAAAAAGTCTTTCAAAACTAAGAGAACAGACCCGGCACGGTGGCTCATACCTGTAATCCTAGCACTCAGGGAGGCCGAGGTGGGAAGATGGCTTAAGGTCAGGAGTTCGAGACCAGCCTGAGCAAGACTCTATATCTCTACCAAAAACAGAAAAATTAGCTGGGCGCAGTGGCGTGCATGTCTAGTCCCAGCTACTCGGGAGGCTGAGGCAGGAGGATTGCTTGAGCCCAGGAGTTTGAGGTTGAAGTGAGCTATGATGACACCACTGCACTCTAGCCAGGGAGTCAAGAGCAAGATGTTGTCTCAAAAAAACAAAACAAAACAAAACAAAAAACCCCAACAAAATTCAAGAAAACAGGTCAGTGAAAAGACCAATGACATAAATGCACTTCCCCAACTGAGAGTTGGCAAGGCTTTGTTTTTATAAATTTAGCAGTTTCAATTCTTTTATAAAGAAATGTCGCCTAAAAGAAATGTGCTAAGCACCCTCTAACTGTTTCTCATTATGTTGCCAATGGTTCCACTCACCCTTAACACTGGCTTATAGCACTTATCCTAACTCAGCTCTGTATGCCATTCAAGGAATAAATGAGCTGTTACTTGAAAGAAAGAGATAGCATCTGTTGGGATTTTTATATTAATACTTGTAAAACATCTTGAGAAATAATAGGAAAAAGCAACCCAGAAAACTGTGTTCTGCAATGAAATTATAGAAAAGGTAGTAAAGAAACTAAACTAAACGATTTTTCTAATAAAGGGACTAGTTTGTTCCCATAGTATGAATAATCTTAGCTAGTGGGTAACTCTTCTAAAAAGACCAGCTTTTGGATAAGAGTGAAAACATAACACAGTGTCTAGATTTAACATACAACGAGCTCCTTAGAATGGTTCTCATGCTGTCTGGCTCTGAGCATTTTGATTCTTCTCTTGTCTTTGTCTTTAATTATGCTGCTGAACACCTAATTTTCATGTAAAAGTGAACCTAGGAAAACAGGATGACTGAAGTCTTACATATGTTCACTCACCTCCCATAATTTTGGATTGGCAGTTAATGAACTCCGGCTTCCTGTCGGTGAGGTACCTCTGGCAGGTGTGGTGGAGGATCTGGAAGAAGGTGCATTTTTCTGAGGCTGTGCTGGCTACCCACTGGTCAAAAGCATTTTCAAACAACAAATCAAACTCTGCAGAATCCTGGAAAAGATAGTGAAATAACTACTGATCTTAATCTATAACAACTGCTGCTTCCAGCTTACCCCTGTCAGAAGACTCATAAAGGCTAAAACAAAGACTCTGATCCCAATCATAAGGCTCATCTTTATTAGCATCCAAGGGTATGGAAACTCCACCTTTTTCTGTTTACCAAGCAAATCCCGAATCTTACAGTATTTATAGATGTCCCTAGGAAGCTAGTATCACAGAAGTTGAGATAATCTAAATACACACTGACGCCAGAATTCAGACCACATGTTGTCTTCCCAATTACATGGAAAAAGATTCCTTCAGGTTCTCAGCAGTGATCTATATTAATCTTGCTCCTACACTTCCATAGGAGAAGATTCCCTTTTATTATTTTAGGGAATATAATATGTATTCCTTAAATATATCTACTGTATATAATAACAGTTCATACTTTATTATGCGTCATTATTGATATTTTGTGTGGGGTGTGTGTGAATAGATAGCTATATCATAAAATGTTTCTCTTATTAAAGCCAGTGGAATCTTAATGCATAATTTTTAAGGTACCATTCATTTATTTGATTTTGGTAAATAAACCTCATCATTGGTGGCATTAGGAAATAAATGCAGCTCTGATGAACATGGTCTTTTTTATATTGATAACCATGGATATGATTATCTTAACTCTGCCCTTTGTACTTTGTTGATAAACATGACTGGAGGTAGCATTTCTTGGATATGCATCCCCTTAGGTTCCTTCATTAAACATTATGAAAAGATTTATAATTTCCCATAAGAAGGGAACGGGCATCAGAAATTTTCAGTCATGTAACTGAAATAGAGAAATAGCCTTGTTAAGAATGATTCAAATCACCACCACCACTACCAAGGTCAATCAGAGTCATCTTGTGAAGACAATTCCTTTGCTCAGCATTGAACAATTCACTCACCCGATTAGGATCAATACCATTAACCTGGCGAAGCTGCTCGAGCATCCACTGTGATCTCCGAACAAAAGACGTGGAGCCTTCAAATTGTTTGACCTTCGTGATGGACGCCTGTGTGGGTTTCTTGTTTGTCACTGCCAAGAAGAGATCACTCAGATTAGTGCATCGGCATGTTGGTGGTTTGTTTTCTCATTTAGTGTTGTTTCTGCATGACCCCTAGTGTGCATACGTACATTGAGGGGGAGGGAGAGAATATGAATGAATATGCGTGCCTTTGGTGAAGGGTGAACACATAAGAAATAGAAGTTATAATCTCCACTCTCAAGCAATTTACAATATAATTATAATTATAGGGCTGGTCCATTTATGTCTTCATCCATTCAAACTAAAAACAATTTAACTGAATAACATCAAGCACCTTTAATGGAGGCTACAAATGCACAATTACAACTTGCAAGAAAAGAAGCACGCAGGGCTGACAGGCATCAGGTAGGGTTCATCAGGAAAGCTGAATTTTAAAGGAAATACAGGTTACTGGCTCCCCTAGAGAACTGCAGTGCATATTTCTAATTTTATATTCCAGTGCAAATAACTCAGTTTTCAGTGATAAGGAGTAATATCTCACTAAAAAAAAAAAAGAACCATTCGGCTCTATAAATTGCTCGGTTTGTATCTTTGTATCTAGTTTGCATCTAATTATGATTGTATCTGGCATTCTGGGCACATCTCCCACACAAATATCTGTGGTCACCACATTTGCAAGACCAGGACAATTTCTTCTCCCAACCTTAGTGAGTTCTTCCCCCAACTTCTTCTGTGCTGAAGATGGACAGCATCACCCATCAGACTGATGTGAAGCTTCAGGGCCAGGAGAGAGGTACCCTGACTATTTCTGCATCTGCTTACTTTATGACTTAGAGACTCAAAAGTGGGGAGGTAATTAAGGGTCTTAAAAGGGCTTTCCTAAAAGCTCCTCATGAGCTCTGGCTTCAGGAATTAGTAAGTTTAAATAGAAATAATGCTATAAAGGAAGTAGGGAAAGTGGAAATCTCCACTGGTTGTAATAAATTCAATCCTACTCATTGACTTGCTGAAGACGATGTACCCATGGCATATTCTTTCTTTGTCTCAAATAACCCCACGGATTCCATATTTTCAAATAACCATGCACATGCTCAACAGGTGGCAAAAAGATTTCTTGAGGGATGAAGGACAGAAAGCACCTGCTCCAGTCACAGTTGGTGGTAAGAAGACCCTATGTATGGTTCATATATCCCATGGCCCATTGCAGTTTCAGCATCTGGGGTTATGAGTAGAAGAGCAGACATGCTGAGAGGGGAATAAAAGGTGGCTGCTCTGCCTTTAGATCTGGTGACAACCTACTTTCCTGCCACTGAAGACTGTCTTCATGACTTCAGTATTATCTTCTCCCTTTGTTCCTAACCAGAACTTAGCAAAGATTGTTTTTAACTTCAAATAATGGCTTGGTTTATTACCAATTATTTCAGTTATATTTGACTAAAAGCTTCTGAACATTTCACACCAATTACATGTACTTTCATGGTTAAAAAGCCATCATTTCCTTAACATCCATGATCAGAGGAAATTAGTCTTCTATTCACAAATGGCCTCTCTTTAACAGGTTCCAAGCCTGTTAAGTCCCATTAGGAATAACCATTCCCCTAACTGAATTCAGGCAATATTGCCAGTCTTCCCGGGGCTCTGTCCATCTGTTTAATTTGATTCATTTATTTTTTGTGTCTCCTATAACACAAATGGGAGACCAAATAGGTTTCTCTGGTAGTCATACCTTGCTCTTATATTTCAATGTTAAAGAAAACAACACACCTGGAATATATGCAGGTCCTAAAATGTGCTTAAAAGATTAAAGAATGCTTTTAAATAACAGGAAAACATGGGTTCCTGTATTAGACACACACCCATAAACACACAAAGAGGATTTCCTCCTCTGTTTATGTAAATCATACGACAGTTAAATATCCTGGGAAACACGAAAGTTTTCCTTCTAACTTTAGTTAAAGTTATGAACTCCTATTTTTATTTCTGGTCCATTTGTTTCCCAGTAGTTTACAGCATTTTTAAAGCTCAAACACAGTGTAAGATCTCTGTGTATTACCGGCATGTGTAGAATTCACAGTTTAGGAAGGCAAGTTCCATTGGAAGTTTGTCATTGAAATGAGGCAGGCAGGAACCCCACCCACAATGACAAATGTCCCATGGAATTCCTCAACAGCGGTCATGCTGCAGAGCAGGCACTTTTAATGCAGGCCATTGCTCTGCTGTCCATTTCTGTCTTTTTTTCCCTTGTTAGTTTATTCCTTGCTCTGTTCTTAGAGTCTGGCTAGTTTTCCTGGGCAATGAGCCTGGTTTGGTTTAATTTTTGTTTATTGTTATTATCTTCAACATCCTAGTTTCTATTTTGGAAGGAGATGCCTTAAAATTACATTATTATATACACATGATATAGAGTTAAGTAAAGACTTTTCCTCTTCTGAAATCAAAACGCTTGCATAAACATACCACTGCCAGATTTTTTTGAGTACCATACTTGAAGAAACCATGGTTTAACCACTTAACCAAGTTTTTGGGATCAATAGCTGATAAAAAATAAGTCAGTCACTCAAAATTGCAGATGTCTACCAAAAAACAGTAATTTACCTTCTCCTTCCAAAGGAAAGCTAATTGATACTACACCCTGGGAAATGCAACCAAATCTCCTGGGTCAGTAATATCACAGTGCTATACGTCTAGTTACCCCCATACCACTCCCAAATTCATTATTCTGAATAACTTTAAAGGCCAGATAATCAGGTCATTTATGTTATGCCTTCAACATTCATGAGGAAAAGATAAATACAGAGGCATTTAAAAGTGGCAGAATGGGCATGCACTCCAGGTAACACTGCAGACCATGTAGAATCAGCCTATTCCTCTGCTGCCTGCAGTGTTAACAGAGGCAGGTAGAAGCGTGGGGCGGGGGGGCAACCAACTCTAGGTCGTTTTGCTATCAACTCTGAAAAAGGAATGTGGTTTTCATAGCTCCTTACCTTCTCTTTAGCTTTCATGTAGATGTCATACTACATCTCTGCTATGGTTAAGAAGCAGTGTTATGAACCATTATATCTGGAGTATCATTACCATCATTACTCAAGTGGTGTACCATCTCCATCTCATGAACTAAAGGTCTAAAGAGGTCTTTTAAAAATGGCCCCTCCATGAGACATTTTACAAAAAATACAATCAGATACCTGGCTAGAATCAAAAGGTGGAGACCACTGGCCTTGTTTATGCACACTCAGAAAATTCTATTTAATCAAAAACCAGTAAGTCAGCCAATAACAAAGTACCACCTAGTCATATCAAACCTGGTCCTATAAAAAGTCAGGAAGGTAGAATTGGTGGAATGGGAAAAAAGGACTGACGAGAAAAGGAAAGAGAAATGCAAGTTACTTGCATGTTAAGCAAAATGTGAGAAGAGCAAATCCTCTGCCAATGACTCAGAGGCTGATCTTCCATTTCAAGGTCCAATGGTTGAGAGATCAAGTTTTTCAAAAAGCCACACTCTTTCACCTAAAGTCTCGATATTCACAGCATCATCTCTCAACAATTCAAAAAGGGAAAATCAATTTTGCCTAAGATACAAATTATCTATTTTAAAGGAAACAATCAGCATATAAATAAAATGGTTACTCACCACCTCTACATTCTCTATTATCTCATATTTTGGGTATTTTTGTACACTTACTTTTAAACACATTGAACTTATATTGAATCATCTCATAACTTTATGTAGCTATTTCTCTAAAAAGAATAAAGAAAAAGCAAAGGTGCTAAAGGAGGACAAATCGTAACCTCATTACAGTTTGACATTGAGGCTAGGCAGCTAAAATGCATAATTTATTATGCCTGCGTGCTGTAGATATCTTTAAATTTCATCACGCGCGGTCCTGTCCCTATCTCGCAGTTAGGGGAAGGCCAGCATTTTGTGGTGCGCCTCACTCTCTGCTCTGCTGGAGTCTACTGGCCAGACATTTTGACCTCAACGAGAATGTTAATGAGAAACAATTTGGAGCCCAGAAAAAAGGGCATCGTTCACATAGAATCTTATCAGAGATGCTCTCTGGCTGTGCAGGAGGTGACTGACAAAGGAGAAAAAAAAGACATCCTCTGAAATGTGGGTTCAGGAGGTAAAGGCAAGACTAAGTGTGCCTTCTGGGTGCTGCTATGGAAAGGGAACAGTCTAACAGGCCAAAGTGAGAAACGATTATTTGGAGCTAGTTTCTTTATCACTCTTTCAAAAGTCTAATGTATGATAATTCTAGGTAGATTTCACAGTATCCATGGGAAATAAATATCAGGTCGGCGGCTGCATCAGCAATTTTACCAGGTAAGGTGGCTGAAAGTTTACAAAGCGTAAAAGCAGAAATATCTAGATTGTTACCTCAAATGCTCTCAGAACAGGGAAACATCCTCTCTGCTATAGTTAGTGGGAAATGGAGCATGGTGCTCTCCACACAGGATGGATCTATTACTTCTCACACTGTTTCTCAGTGTGTTATGATTTAGGGACATAATAAGTGTTTAGACTCCCCAGGCCACATAACCCTAAGTTCCAAAACCAGACCAACTCAACAAATGGTCAAGTTTGTCTCTGGGGTCCTCCCTCTCTCCTTCTGTCCCCTCCCCCCATCTCTGGTACTGGAGGCTCTTTGGCCAGAGTCCTGACAAGACCCAAATGGGCCTGACAGGGTATTCTTGAATCTGTATATTTTAAGAAAGAAAGGGTGTGTGTGTTTAGTTCAAAGGAACAACAAGAAAAATGGTGGCATTTCAGTCATGAGCACCCAGCCAGTGGGGGAGAATGAAGGATGCTCTTCAGCAGTCCCTGCTCCATTAACCCTAAAGGGGAAGGAGGTGGTAGAATCAGTGCATAGGGCTTCAAGGAAGCTGACTTCCTCAATTTACTGAAGGGATAATCATAAAGAAAGTTTTCCATACAAAAGATTCCTTATTTGGTATCACTAAACAAGGTATCCCCTACATCACATTCTCATTTCCAAATTGGAGTAGGAGGAGGGGGAGGAAATAAAGGAGATAAGGGAAAGTCTAGGAA